CTTTGTAATAATTTATTATGCGATTTTATAAATTTTTGTTTATTTGATAAGATTGAATAAACAATTGGGGCTATTTTAATAGTTTTACAACTTACGAGATTTTTATGTTTATGAGAAAATATACAGCACAAAAATTTCATATCACATGTCCAAACAAAACTTCAATTTCATCTCATGATTTCATATCATGATACCATATCGCATGGTCAAACGGCCCTAAGACTAAGAAATTTGTTACCTCATTTAAAACTCAACTTTGACAGCCCCAATGTTAACAATATGAAATTCCAACTCACTACATTCAAACCTTATGGTGGTCGTTTTCTTCAGACAGTAGAAGCTCCAGAAGCTGAGTCCTCGTCTTGTTGGTAATGATAATGCTAAGATCCGACGGCTTTGTTGATAATCTCTGGTATCTTCGAATTGGAAATTTTGCCTATTATTTTCCTCCAATTCCTTCATTCATATAACAAAGATCCATTGTTGCCTCTGTCATTATTGCATCTGTTTCTTGCCTATGTTTTTACTTCTTCTTGTTCTTCAGTTGAATGAATCGTTGTTCAATTGTTAGTTTATTATTCAGTTTTTCAGTTTTATTCATCAACTGTTTTCAATCAATTTGCACATTTCTAATTCTCACTTTTGGATATACTTTCTTGATTCAAACATACCTTCATCGTCTTCTGGAGAATTTGCCCTGTCCTTATTCCTCAATTCCTTCTATATAAATAAACACCCCTTTTCATTCACAGATAGAATCTTGATCAATTGCATCTGTTTTCTAGTTTTGCCTCTGCCGTTATTGCATCTGTTTTCTACCGGAATTGTTCAAATTGTTAGTATTGCCTTTTAGTTTATTATTCGATTTTACACTTTCCTTGATCAATTGCTACCACTGTTTTCAATCTTCATTTCTAATTCTCACTTTTGGATTTCACAAGACCCTTTCGGTTGTTGGTAGCCAATTCGGCAGGAACACTTAGTTACTTTGGATGACATCTTCAGAAAGACCAAAGCCGCTCCCCGTATCTATTATATACGGCTGACTGATGAAGAAGTTGCTAAAAAGCTTGCCAGTAGAGGAGATGCTGAGAACTAGAGGTTTTAAGTGAACAAAGGACTTGTTAGATAGATGGATTATGGAGAGGTGTTGCGATATAATACTGATAACTGCTAGTTTGCCCTCATAGAGAAGTTGCAGTCTTGAGGCTCACTAAGACCTTGCTCTCTTTTCTATTTTCGTTGTTAATGGTTACTGTATTTTGCTTTGGGTTGAAGAAACATAACAAAATGTGCAGAGTCTACCTTCTTTTGATAGTTGCATAAAGATGGCTTTGAAGCAGAGGTTGAGACATTGGGGAAGATTCGACACAAGAACATTTTTAAGCTATGGTGTTGTCTTACAACTAGGGATTGCAAACTATATGCCTAATAGAAGCAGCAAAAGTGGCCTTCTAGACTGGCCTAGGAGATATAAGATAGCCATGGATGCAGCTGAGGGACTCTCTTACTTGCATCATGACTGTGCTCCACACAGAGATGTTAAGTCAAATATCATCTTGCCGGATGGTGAGTTTGCTGACTTCGGTGTTGCAAACGCGGTCGATGCCAATGCGTCCATGTCTGTTATTGCAGGGTCTTGTGGTTACATTGCTCCAGGTTAGTGAATTAACTTTTTCATTTTTCAGCTTCAGTTTCATGAGTTTGTGTTGAATTTGTTCATATTGAGTTTTTGATAGCACGGCTCATCGTATTGCTGGGGGCTTGCCACCACCCATGCCAACAAGTGGTAGTTCACAAGGGAATGAACATCATCATCAGTTTGTGTCGCCTAGAGTCTCAAGTAGTCAATCCACCATGGCAATGTCATCACTGATCCCCTCAGAGCCAAGTAGTGAATGGGCAGCTGATAGCAGTAGAATGACGATGCACAATAGAAGTGTTTCAGAGCCTGACATTGGGAGAACTCCAAGACAGGTGTCTTATCCTGTTTCTCTGTAAAAATTACATTGGACTGTATCTATCTAATCTGGCTTGGAAAGAGAAGTTTGTTGTGAATTTGTGTTAGATCAGGTTGACTCATCAAAGGACACAAGCTCAAGTAACACAGGAAGCCATGCATCAGGAACTGGAGGTATATCACGCTTTCGTTGCTTTGGCTTTGGCTCCCAGCTTCTCCAGAAAACTGTTGGATTAGTACTCAAACCCCGTCAAGGCCGTCAGGTAGATATTGATTTTTCTCTCATCTTTGTTGTTTTCTAGATTGTAGTCCTCACAAAATTTGATGTTGACGCTTGTTTCCTTTTGTCTTGATTCCTTGTAGGCAAAATTGGGTGATTCGAATAAATTTTATTATGATGAAAAACTTGAAAGATGGGTAGAGGAAGGTGCTGAACTTCCTGCTTCAGAACCACCCCTTGCACCTCCACCAACTGCTCCTGCTTTCCTGAATGGAGCGCCCGATTATAATGTGAAAAGTGTATTGAAAAGTGAAAGTCCTATATGCAACAATGGATTTCCGGAAATGAAGAGTCCAACTTCTTCTGATAATGGTGCTGGAATTCCACCTCTTCCACCTACCTCCAACCAATTCTCTGCTCGTGGTCATATGGGTGTTCATTCAAGGCAAGTGATTTTTGTGTGTTAATTACTTACATATGAAATGGTTGGACCAGTAGACCAATAAAAATAAAAGTGTACCAGTAGAGACCTAGTATGGTCAGTGATATCTTTGGACTGCTATAAGAGTAATCCTCCCTACCTGATTGAATCTTTTGGTGGCTTGGGCAAAACAGCCATTGTTTACTTAGTTGGTCCGGTCCTGAGAGAGTATTTTAAATTGGTGAGAGTAATACTTGATAAGCTCCTATGCGTCAAACTAACAATTTTTAGTGTATGAACCTACCTGATTGTCATGCTTTTTATAGTATTTTGCCATGGCTTCTTCACTTCCATTATTTCTTTTTCCGAACTGCTTTGAACTGTTTTTCATTGAGCGGGAGGATCTATCAGAAGCAGTGTCTCTACCTCCAAGGTAGGAGAAAGTACACTCTACCTTCCCCAAATCCCACTTTGTGGGATTACACAGGGTATGTTGTGTTACACATCCACCTGATGAGACACTGATCCAAAAAATATTATCGAGCATTTATCACTTTTGTCTATTAGTAATGGTGGCTCCAGGATCAAATTTGATTTACAGGCTCGTTTAACAACGTAAGAAATAATCCATCACTGAAAGTGATGCAGAAGCATTGGTTTCAAACCTACTTTAGTACTTCATCTGATCATGTACTAGGGCTTTCATTCAGAAAAATTATTTGGGTACAAAGAATAGGGTCACCGAAAGGCTACAAGTGCATGTGGTGCTCTCTTCTATAACTCAATGGTAAAAGCTGACTGGCTTCTTTTCCTTCTTTTGGCAGGTATGTTGACACATTCAATAAAGGTGGTGGTAACCCAACTAATCTATTCCAGTTACCTTCTGTTCCTTCCATAAAGCCTGCTACTGCTGGCAATGCCAAGTTTTTTGTTCCCGCCCGATGTCCCCTGTTGAAGAGACAGGGAACAGTACTTCCAATGAGCAAGAAACTTCAAGTAATAGCGAGAGTGATTCAGTTTCTGCTGTTAATGGATCGACCCATTTTCCTGCACCAACATCGAGCGCTGTGCCTATCCAAAGATTTGCAAGCATGGACAACCTCTCCAATAAAGGAGCTGTTGCTAGCTCTCTATCAGCTAACTCCCGGCAAACTGCATCATGGAGTGGCAGCTTTCCTGATGCTTTTTCCCCAAATAAATCTGAAATAAAACCACTGGGCTCTAGATTGAGTATGCCTCCGTCGTCATTCATGCCTAGTAATGTTAATTCGATGCATTCCTCAACGAATGGTGGCAGTCTCAGTGATGACCTTCATGAAGTAGACCTGTGACGCAACAAGATGTATATACCAAGTTTTGCTCGTCGTCATGGTATCCTGCTCGGAATCTCTTCACTTTGGTGGTAAACAGTGAAGTGTGCGGTCAATGAAGATGGAAAATCCTTTCCTGTCTTCTCACACCACAAATATACCCCCCCTATTCTCTTTTTTTGTTTAGCTACTTTTTGTAAGATCAGTTGTATGTTGAAAGCAAATGCTTATTTAGATGTAGGGATATAGGTTTTTATTTCTTTTATCCCTGTTAACACCTGCTGTTTCAGAAATTTGTTATTATAAACACAAGCAAAGTCGTCTAGAGATACATTGTACAGTTGAAATATTCATTCATCGAGGAAAGGAACTCTCATTTGATAAAAATTATATAACTAAAAGTGAATGCTTAGACAAAAGAAATTGTTGCAAACGACTTGTCATAAACTGTTACTATTACAATTGTTCCAAAAAAGAAGAAACAAATACTATCTAAATATCACATTCTTTCTGGTACTAAAGTATATTTTCCCGCTCAAAACAGAGCAAATGCTTGAAACATCCCTTGAGTATCTTGCAGCAGCAACAATGGCGGTTGATAATGACAATTCAAATATTGCACACGAGGGAGAGGGCGGCTCTCTCTTTCTCTCTTCCACACTAACTTAAGCAAATTTCTGCCGATCTCAAACGACATAAAAGCGTCAATAGCAGCATATTCAATTTGTTCATACACCAATTCCTCTGCATCCCACTTACTCAATGTCACATTCTTTGGCTTCTCCATCACTTTCCCAAGCACCTCTTCCGCCATTCTCTTCAATCCCATCTTCCCATACACTTCCTCTCCATAAATCGATAATGCCAATCGATTCAAATCCACAGTATTCGCCACAAACAGCTTATGATCGCGAAGCAATTTCTCCGCGTCTCCTTTAACCCCGACTCCAACAAACTTGACATTCGGATCTCCAAGGAACTTGGCGAGGAATGCTGGAAGGCCGTCTTTGTGGAGAAGTTGGAATAGTAAGCAACGCCGTCCTACGCAGAGCTGGAGGAGAGCAACAGGGTGATTTTCGTCAGGATTGAAACAGGGCAGCCACTCGATATCAAGTCCAACAACAAGTTTGTTTTGATTTCCGAACATGAACGGTCTCCAGAATCCAATCATTAACAACGACAGCATTCTTCGTAACAGTCACTTCAATTTGGTCACTGTAGAAAGGAACAACATAGATTTCTGCCATAACAAAAACTGAAAATAAAAAAGTCTTTTAACTCTCGAAATTTGATTTTTTTTTAGTACTCTCAAAGTAATTTTTGTCAAATAATTCATTCATGAATTGACGCATATATATTACAGTTTAGACACTCCAAAAGTTTCCTAAATTTTTTTTCCTTAGACCGAATTTCCTAATTTTTTTCCTTAAACCGAGTTTCCTAATTATTTTTTTCCCTTCAATCGAGTTTCCTAAATTGTTTTCCTTAAAACAAGTTTCCTAAAATGTTACAAGAAAAGTTTCCTAAAATGTTATATTTACACGGTATTAATATTTTGACTTAATTTTGGATATGCATTTATACTTTAAAAAGTTAAACACTTATCTCCTTACTACGTACAGGACTCGTGCTAGCACAAACCTAATATATATTACTTTGTCTTTTTTAATTTATATGATACAAATAAAATTTGGAGTCAATCCATTTTTATATGATTTTTAAAATTAATTTAAGTTGTCATATATACTTTTTATTTGTTCTAAAATAAGTGTGTTTGAATCTTTTAATTTTGTTTAAAATAAATAGTGTTTTAGATATTAAAAAGACATTAATGATATTACATTTATTTTAAACGAGATATTTCAAAATATTTTGAATTGTCAATTATTGTAACTTATAGTACTTTTACATAGTTTACAAATATGTAAATTTTATTATTAAAAAATTGAAAATTTCATGAGCAAATTATCGATTAAACTAAAATGAAGTGTGTTCATGCGCTGAACAAGCCTAAGTAAATTGATAATATTTCAAAGTGAATTGAGTTATGTGTCATTTATAGCAATATATAGCAATACTATGATAAATTTGTACAACATATTAAAAGTGAATTGTGCATGCAATATAGATATATTATAAGTGTTATAAAATAGATTATGCTTGCTTGTTAAGAAATTAATAAAATGTATTAAAAGTGTATTCAAATGTGTGATAATGTATAAAGTTTTCACTGGGTCAAAGCCAAAAATATGATGAATAGAAGGAAAGGAGATCAGAAAGATAGGCGAACAACTTGACTATAGTATAGGTCGGATGTTTCCGTGAGCATTGTCGACATCTTTCCCTTGAGAAATAGTAAGATAGGCAAAAAGGCATAGAGACTACAATGGCCGCATCTCTCGATGAAAAGGCCAGCAAAGAAAAGCCCCTATATATATAATAAAGGAGTTTTTGGCCAAAAACATACTTAAACTATACCCCAAACTTAAACTACATCCTTAAAATATCTTTTTTGGCAAAAAATATCCTCTAAGTATTTGAAAGTTAACAATTTCCATCCTTCTGTTAGATATCGTCAAAAAACTAAGGGATCCTACAAAAACATGAGCAGTTCACGTGACTATCAACCAAAATTCTCTTGCATAATTTCATAGCTTGCTATAAAAAGTTCCTGAAATAAATATTAAAAATTCTTAGATATTGTTGCTTACTGAAACAAAAAATGTTTGGAAAGTGTGAGGATACATGATTTTCTCTTTTTCTCATTTAGTAACCGAAAGAAGTTGAAGCTTAATTATCTTTACTTTTTTCAAAACCAAATTGCATTTAGATCAATAAATTTTTGGGCCAATCTGATATTGAAGTGATCAAAATATTAATCATGTCTCGCATTTGAGTTTTATTCTACTTTATTAGAAAATGAAGTCTCCAACAAACGTCGCTTCTAGTATATTCAATTGAGAAGAAACATATTTCAACTAATAATATTTCAATATCAATTTACATGAAAATAAATGAAAAAACTATCAAATTTAAAGATTTTGCATAATGCTAAACTCAATTATCGAAAAAGTTCACGATAGTATTTTTGGCGTATCTAAGAATTATAATTACGATGGGATGACTTGATTTTTGTGGGATCCGTTAGTTTTCTAATAAATTCAAGTAAAAGGATGAACATTGTTCACTTTTAAATACTTCAAGGATGTTTTATGCTAAGAATGATACTTTAAGGATGTAGTTTAAGCTTAGGGTATAGTTTAAGGATGATTTTGGCCAAAAACTCGAAATAACCCACCTTTAAATTAGCCCAATTTACTTGTGATTTAAACTTTAATTAACCATGAGTAATTAGTTCTCATCTTTTAATAAAGACAAATGACTTAAATGGATATAATTAACTTAAGCTTAGCTAGAATTTTTTTTTCAAACTTTAACACCATTTTTTCTCCAAAATTTTAGGTAACTTGTTGAATTCACCAACAAGAGTTTTAGAATCTTACTAACTCAGTCATGAACATAGAGATTAAACTTGTTATTCATTGGTTATTAGCTGCCTCCCAATGGGAAAGAGATTATAAAATGGGAAATTGAACCCTCAACAACAAGGTATGAGTTTATGTAACCAACTAACTGAGCTATTAAAATTGTCTTGGACATGATTACAAGTCATGTTTTGAAATTTAAATTTTGTTTGTACATGCAATTTGAATTTCTCAAGTCGTATTTTTTCATATAAAAATAAAAACTCCATAATTTGTGAAAATTGTGCATGTCCATCGCCGGAGACTCCACAACAAGTTTGGGGACCTAAAGCCAAACATCATAGAAATGCCTTATTTCTTTTCAGTTAACATATATAAATTGAATAATTATAACATACTCAATGTAATCCTATAATTTATAGGATTACATTGAGTATGTTAGAATTATTCAATTTATATATGACAACTAAAACAATAGAGGAAATTACATAAATAGCTAAGTGATGAACTTTAATAACGCTCCTTAGCTACAATTTGCCTAATTACGCTTCATAGCTATAGTTTCATTTGATATGTTAATTTCTGTTTATATATTTCGTTGTTTTTTTAATATATTATATAAATTGAATTTATACAAGTAACATATTATATACATTTATTTGTATTGTATACAAACTATTAATGTAGATAATAAGTAATTGTATATAAGTGATGAAAAATTTGGCTTTAGACCCCAAACTTGTTGAGATGGTCATGTCTATCATGTCAGATAACCTAAAATTATAATCTTAAAATAAGATAAATTACTTGTTATTCTGTTATTACAAATACATATGATTTATAAAATTATTTACCGTGATAATATATATATATATATATATAATGAGTATAACTTAAATGTAAAGAAAGAAAAGGAAACTTTTCCATTTAAGTTAAACTTTATTATTAATTGCGCGAAACTATGCTCCATTTCCCTTTTTCCAAGGATAAAAAAATACGAAACTATGCTCCATTTCCCTTTTTCAATCACTATTAACCTTTCGGTAGCCCTAAAATATCTTCATAATTCTTTTTGATGAAGCTTTAAAAGTTAAAGAATGATTATGATACTATGGTTATAACTGAAGAACAGATTATCAAAATGATATACTCTATAGAATGAAGATACAAGAGTATGTCAATGGCAATATCCCCTTTAAGGGCTCAATTCCTGGGACTTGGGCAAATCATTATAAAATGAGTTCAAGGAGGAAAAGGCAGCAAATAAGCTAATGAAACTAACTGCTTGTAACAAGTTATGAACACAAAACCTGTGCAGGCTGTTGAACCGCATTTACAACGTTGAGATGTAGATTCTACAGCAAAGACATCGGCCGGTTGACCTGCAATTAGTAGGCACAGTGTCCGCAAAGGTGACCCTGCTACTAACTGTTGAAGTGCCATTTGCTTCACCGTTTCTACATAGAACTACAATTACGCATGAAATCAAAAATATATTGATAGAAAGATATATATATATATACAATCTGATCCATTATCAGAGAGCAATCCTGACCCCGACGGATCATTCCTTTTTCCGATATACGAAATAGGGGATTTCACTAAGTTGATTCTTAGGAAATGTCGAATCAAACCATTTGTCCTTATTTCAACAAAAGAAGCACGGGCTTCTTCGCAAGAAGAACTTTTTTTGTCTTGGTTCCAATTCAATACTAAACAAGTCCGAACTAATTGAATACTTGTGTCAGAAATTCCTCGAATCGGTTTGCTATATACTAGATAAATTTAGGCCCGTGATACGGGCTCAATATAATGAAAGGCCCATTTACGGGCCCAATATTATAATATTATATATATTTATAATAGAA